GGGAGGGGCGGGGAGGGGAGGGGGAACTATGAAAATTGTCGACAAACGTACAGCCAACGGTGGTGTGTGTGTGGCAACAGAAGGAAGATCTACTTAGGATCCTCCGGGAGTGTCGCGCACACATTCCCTCCAGTCCCAATTAATCGGCCACGACACGCAAGTCAGCCACGGCGACAGCGGTGACATATCTGGTCAGTAGCCAGTGCGCGCAGTCAGCGCTTCCAAAGGAAGCACTATGCTGCTCTGCAAAAACACAGGTTCTCAGCCAAACCGATAGGGGACATAGTAAACACGCAAGTAACACACCCAACACATCACATGCAAAACGGAACACGCAGGGATTCACGAAACACACACGAACCCAACAGATGCAAACGGGCAAAATACGCAGGAGAACACGCTACACACCTTGCGCTTATCGATCGAAGCCGCGCGCTCCCGGTCCCAGCGACCCGGTGGTCCCAGTCCGCCTCCGCCCGTCTCCGGCGGCGGGGGCCCAGCGGCGATGCGCACACCCCCTACCCCTCCTGTTTCCACGGCCGCCGTGCCCCCGGAGAGGCCGCCGCTGCCGTCGCGGGGGGCGAAGCCGCGCTGGGTTGTGGCGCTGGCTAGCGCTTCTAGGCCGCCCCTTGCCTGTTGTCGGTGTTGCAATCAGCATGGGAGTTCAAGAGGAGCAGAGAAACTTCTTGGTCAATAGGTGAGAGCATACGGCAATAGTGCCCCCAAACACGACACAAGCGGGATGAATGCAGGGGTGGCGGCGGCAACGACCGCCTTACAATCAACGCGAAACCAATAACTTGAAGGACGACACCAAACAAACAGACAAAAAACACCGATCAGTGCTGTTCGTGAGAACATGAGTCCCGTCCCGAAAACGGCTACACCAACAACCAACCCGTTCCTCCCCCCCCCGCTTTCTTACCGCGTGCCCGAAGACGGGCGGCGCCTTCCTGGAAGGAGGATCGGCAGCCGAGGAAGCCAGGGTGGACGCCCGCCCCCCCCCAGCGCCAGTGCCCGGCGAGGGTACCCCCGTCCCAACGCCCTCTTCCTGTAGGTTCAAAAATCAGGCGAGGGCGGCGGGAGGGGGAGAGGAAGGGAGAAATGGAGGGAGGGGGGATCAGCGGGGACGCGCTCACGTTCAGGTTCCTCCCCGTCTCCGGCGGACACCCGCGCGTGTGCGTGGGTCACTTCGAACACTAGACCACGCCTCCCGATCTAGATCAGGAGATTAGGAGCCCATGTTTGCCAGGGGGGGGGACACTCACGTGTCACGCACACACCGTCGGGGGCCTCGTGGATACCTCGATTCCAACGCTACTGTAGTGCATGCCCTCCGGATTGATCTACATCTGGAGATCCCCCGCCCCCCGCCCCCCACGCGTAACCTACACGCGTTATGCATACTGGGGTAACGCGCTCGTCACGCGAGACAAAAACAACGAGAGCCGCATGAATCAGACAAAAGCAGTCTTGTACACGGAGTCCGACTCCAGAACCTGGTCTCTTGCCGCAAAAAGCAACAACCCCTTGTCCCGAAAAACGCCCCAACAGTTCAAGGAAACACCAATACCCAGCACCCGCCAGTCCTCTGCCGATACGAAGCAGCACAAACATCAACAAAATCATACCGCCCAAAGTCGTGCGGTGACCCACCCCTTCCAGGTGCCCTTCCGGCCTCTTGGGGGGCTTGAACATGCCCCCGCCCCGGCTCCACGTCGGGCCCAGGCGGGGCATGTCCTCCGGGGCCATGGCCCTCTCCGTGCCGGAGTCTGCCATGCCGACCGGCCTACTCTACACGGAGCAGGTCTAGCTAGCCCAGTCCCTTCTTCCCCGCCGGGGTAGCGCTTCTTGCTCCGGCTGCTGCTCTGCTGCTGCTCTTGCTGATGTTTGCCGCCGCCCGCCCGCGTTGTTTCCCCTCCTGTGTTCTTCTGCTACGCGATGAACCTTGCGATGCCGCTGCTGCTCCTGTTTGCCGGGTAGGTTGAGAGACAAGGAGTAGCGGCCACGGCAAGCAGCACAATAAACCTCACTTCATGAAAGCGACTGGGAGGTTTGAGATGGTGCTTTTAACTGCTGATGCCTTGGCCGGGCGTGCTGCCCCCCCCCCCTGGCGGGATCACATAACATATAGCTGATAAGGGTCTCCCATGTCACAATGCCTGATGATGAGGAGGGTCAAGAACCGGAACCTTTCCACGACGTGGTGCTTGAGTGCGCCTCGTATGCATTGGTGCACGGATGCGAGCAACAAGATCGACGGTTTTCCTTTCAGGGTCCTTTCTTCATGTATACATACGGCGTGTCTCAAAAAGGCAACTAAGGAAGAGAGGGGCAGACAGAATGCGCGAGAGAGGTCTAACGTATGATGGGCCGGGAAAAAAATCGAAACAGTCGCCCATCGTCGCTACAAGACTCCTTGGCGATACTTAGGATTGGTCATATCACTATCACCGACACTTGCGTCCCGACCACCACACTTGTCAGCCGATGTTTCGGATCAACGTCCTGCCTGCTGTTGTAACGTATGACTCCCGTGCCAGCGTCACACCCCCCCTCCCCTCCCCAAAAGATGACCTTCAGAGGGAGTGACTGCCTCTGATCGGTATTTGATCCACAGACAAGTGACAAGGTTTGAGCTGATAATTGTCGGAATGGTTGGCCATCAGTGGGTTCAAGTAGACGGGAGACCTTCACCCGGGCATTGCTGCGGCTCCTTTCCTCCTCCTCCTCCTCCTCCTAAAAGAACAATATATGTACCATACGTAACTGGGCGACGATTCGAACATACAAGCGGTGTGTGAGGGCGCATACTGCAACCGCCGGAAAACCACTGCAATCTACTGCGGTCCAAGAGGCGCATTTCTCGTCAAGTTGAAAAATCTGCCAACCGGCGGCCCGAAAAATCGGCCGAAACAGGCGTCTTGGTTCGTTACAAGTTTCTCGCGTGTGGACTTCGTCTATTACAATAATGATATCTCGCATGTATGCGTGTAGATACAACATAAGAGTAAATGTTGGAGTCCTCGCGGGGAGCAGTCCCGGAAAAGCGAATGGGGGTTCTGTGTATGCACATGCATGTGCATACATGCGCAGACAATTCTCACATCGCGGTCCGCAGGAGCGTTTTCAATTTTCAGCTGAGAACGCATCTACAGCAGTGCTGCATCTATTGCGCACACGTTGTACATACAATCCAACACTCCAACAGACTGTCAGAGCGCAAAAATTGCGCTTGTTAAACGCAACAGGCGAAAAAAAAAAAGCTGCGTGCCAAAGATTTCAGCTCTCGTCGGTAACCGCCAATAATCGAGCTGTTCTCATATGTGTGCAAACCACCGGGACTCACTTCTAAAAAATACATGCGCATAGCTTGGTTTCGAAACGCCTCTCCCTCTCTCTAGATTCATTCACCCGCGGGGAGCCCGACTTTTATTGAAAACACAGCAGCATAAACAGCAGTGCGATTCCGCCAAAGAAAATGAGTCTGCCGCGGAGGTCGTTTCGTGCCAGCCATTGCCTGTCGAGCAAAAGGTCGAAGAAAGCCTGGAATGAAAACCAAAAAGATCTCCACTCAAGGCTGGGACAACAGGTGCAGCAGTGAACCTCATGTCTTCAAAGGCACGGAACCCTACATGTGGGAGAGTGTGGGCGAGGAAGGTAGGACGGTGGAGTGCATTGGCCCGAGGCTGATGAAGGTGCGTCTACATATTGGCCGCACCTGCGGAGTAACTTTCGTGGTGGGGTACGCCCCCACGGAAACTGTCCGCACCACCGCGGGCGGTGATGTTAACGCCAAGGACTCCTTCTGGACTGCTCTCGACGCAGCGATCCGGGAGGTTCACAGCCGTGACCATCTCGTGGTGCTAATGGACGCCAACGCACGCACTGGTAGGAGGCGAGACGGGTGCTGCGATGCCAATATTTATGGGCGCGTACGGACGCGACGTTATGAACAACAACGGGGAACGACTCCTTGGACTGGCATCAGACAACCAACTCTCCCTGACCAACACCTACTTCCGG